GTAGCATCTGCTCTGACTTGCCTCTACTGCAACCCAAAAACCTCACTAGGCTCTTCTCTTGTTTACAGATTGTTGCAAACAGCAGCTGTACTCCACTTAGCAAGGTTATGTGTGTGACCTGCCTTCTCAGTTGATGCAAGTGATGTTTCATGCGTGATCAGTATTTATTCCCGCATTTCAGGAACATGCATGTTTAGATCTTTTTTTGTATCAGCATGCTGTAATAACCCTAAACTATATAGTAGGCTCCAAGCTGGGGGTGGAGATATTCCAGGCAGTTATTTCAGTACTGCAAGAGATTTTTTTTATAGAAGACATTTTTATGACAAACATTAGTTCTAACGCCTTCCTTCTCTTTCAGGTACATCCACAAGATCACAAGTTAAATACATACCAAGCCTGGCTCTGGGAAAACCATGAAAAAATGAGTCTTAATTGAAAAATGCAGATATGTTTTTATATAGCTTCACTTTTTGGTACTTACCACCTTGCTCTTGGCTATATGTACACATGAAATGGAAACATCCTATATTCTCTTTACACATTTGTAGTTCTGATCATTGAGTGCTTAATTCCAATATTTGATTGTGTTTAACATGTTTTCAAACCCACATAATCATTGTAATTAAAAGCTGATAAACATTGATATTTTAAAATAAATTTTAAATAAGTTATTTTAATAGTTGGCCATTCCTCAGTGCTGCAAAAACTAAAGTGATATCATACTTTCACCTAACTAACTAATACCCTGCTACCTTACCATAGAAATCCAAGTGTTATCAATTATTTCTTTTGCCACTTAAGTATTGCTTCTGACCTTCTATCTAGTGATGGGACAGAAACATCCAACTCCCTTTGTTTGACTACTTGTGAGTAATCAAGTCAAATGATCCCAGAAGAGAAGAGGGCAGGTCCTTAGAACTCAAACTCCCACTGCTAACTTTGCAAGCTAAGGGCCTGATCCTGTAGAAGCTATTAGTTTAGGGTCTAATCCAGAGGTGAGCAAACTTTTTGGCCTGAGGGCCACATCTGGGAATAGAAATTGTATGGTGGGCCATGAATGCTCACAAAATTGGGGTTGGGGTGCGGGAGGGGATGAGGGTTCAGGGTGCGGCCAGAATAAGGAGTTCAGGGTGCAGGAGGGGGCTCCGGGCTGGGGAGTACGGTGCGGGAAGGGGCGCAGGCTACGGCTGGGGGTGCAGACTCTGGGGTGGGGTTAGGGATGAGGCGTTTGAGGTGCAGGAGGGTGCTCCAGGCTGGGATCGAGGGGTTTGGAGGGCAGGAGGGGGATCGGGGCTGGGGCAAGGGGGTTGGGGTGCGGGGAGAGGCTCAGGGGTACAAACTCCAGGCAGCACTTACCCTAAGCGGCTCCCGGAAGCAGCGGCCATGTCCCCACTCCAGCTCCTACGCAGAGCTGTGGCCAGGCGGCTCTGTGTGCTGCCCCATCCGCAGGTGCCACCCCTGCAGCTCCCGGCCAATTGGAGCTGCAGGGGCGGCGCTTGGGGCAGAGGCAACATGCAGAGCGGAGCCCCCTGGCTGCCCCTACACATAGGAGCGGGGCCATGCTGCTGCTTCTAGGAGCAGCGTGGAGCGGCCCCTGACCCTGCTCCCTGGCTGGAGCACCGGAGCAAGGCAAGCACCAGACCCCAATCCCCAGCGGGAGCTCGAGGGCCAGCTTAAAATGGCAGGCGGGTTTGTTCTGGCCCGTGGGCCATAGTTTGCCCACCGCTCGTCTAATCCAATGTTCACTGGAGTTAAAGGAAAGACCAATGGATTTTAGATCAGTTCACTTCTGCTTTACTACTGAATAACCTCATTGACTGTAACAGGACTATTCATGGAAGTATGCACTAGGCTTGGTGTTATGTTTGCCAGATCAGACCCTAACTTGCTAACTTTTAAAGAGCTTCCTGCAGCTGACTTGTGACTATTACCGGTTTGTATTCATGCTGAGCAGGACTTTGACACCTGTGCATTCTTACAGCCCTGCTAACTACTCTTCCTTTGATAATTGTTTTGTTTTTACTGCTCACTAGCGATTAACTCTCTCGACTAGTTTTCAGCATTTCTTGCTACCATCCAGGTAGCGCCTTTCTTTTAGCATACTGTGGGCCTGATCCTGCAGAAATCAGAGCACTAATTAACTCCCGCTGAAGTCAAACACTTCACAAAATCAGGTCCAGAACAAGACTTCAGTGGGGCCCAACCTAGTGGGATATTGGTTAATGAGCCTTATTTTTCAATAAGATTTTTTTTTAACACCTGAGCTGCTGTAAAATCCTTGTTTCTCAATTCATATTTGCCATATTTAAAGGAGTCAAACAGGTCCTAAAGATGCATCTATAATTACAAAAGCATGTAAACAACATGTAAAGGTTGGGGCAAGGACCGGGTTGAAGCTCTGCATTTGAATCTAATCCATAATGCCTTCACCCTGTGAAGCACCTAATGAACTATACATACAGTGCAGCTTTAATCTATGCATCTCAAACTGGGTGTGTATTTTCACCCATTTTACAGATGGAAAGAATGAGATGAAGAGAGGTTAATGTTCTGACTTTCAAAGGTGCTGGGCACATGCAGCTCCCACTGACTTCAGTGGGAGTTGAGATGCTCAGCACATCAGAAAATCAAGCCCTTAATGATTTACCCAAGGCCATAGCATGACTCCTTAATGTACAACAGAATGGAATCCTCTTTTTCCTCACTCCTGGTCCCCTGCTTTAACCACCTCTCCAGACTTCCACATCTGTGGCATACTTGGTAATTGTTTTATTGAGTAGTTTTTGCAATATCTGAGTGCTTGTACTTTCATATTACATGAAGGTACAATGTCAAGAAAAGCAGGATTAATATTTAAGTGGGGGATATTTTAAGAAGAATATAATATGAAAAATGTGGGGCTGTTTTAAAAGGTTACAACTAACTCTTAACAACAACATAGCAATAAAATATACTTTGCTATTCAAAGGGATTCTGGTGCCCAAATGTTCTGGAGATGGGGACCTTAAAAACCTGACTAACAGAGCCCAGCAATACATACAATAAAATTATAGTAGGTATTTGGTCCATAAAGTTAGCAGATTTAGCATCAGTTGAGAGGCCTCACCCAGGCAATGAATGAATCACCCATTCAGACTTGGTCATTAAATTAACATGTACTGGAGATTTGTTTTTCCCCTTCGCTAGAAGAGTACAGCATGAAGTGAAAACAACTGTTTGCAACGGCAGGGACTGCCCCCTCCTCTTTGGCTGCCATGGGGGCTTGGCGGAGAAGCTATGCATTATAGATATTAATACAATGCCAAAGCCCTCTGCTGGGAAAAGCCTTTGACTATGTGCTCCTCGGTCATTATAAACAAGGCACAGACACAAACACCTACATGCAAACAGGGAGCGTAGATCCTGAGGTCTCACAGCAATCGGGATGCCACAGGCAGGGGTCCCTTCACCATGGCCATGGCGGGGCTAAACTGAGGGTTCCCAGCCAGCGGAGTCCCTGTGTGCCCTGCCCCTGCCCCGGGCACTGGCTGCTCCCGGCCAGCTCAGGGGCAGGGGAGATGGACGCGTGGCCGACCAGCAAGTGTGTGACTTGTCGCCCACACAACATCCAGCCCGATCCCTCCTCGGCCAATCAGGAGCCAGGACGCGGGGCCGTTGCTATGGTCTCCAAACTGCAACACTTCCCAGGCTCTGCACCAGCGACAATGCAAGTGAGAGAAGCCGGGGCGGGTGCCTGCTCCTGCCTCCCGTCCCGTGCCCCTGAGGGGGGCAGCCGCAGCTACCTTGTGGGCCCCCCCTGCGAACGGCGCCTTCCCTCGCTCCCTGCCCACGGGCCGGCGCGGTAGAGCTGGGTGCAGACTTGGCCAGCCTGTTCCGGGAGCCGCCAGGTAGGGCAGGACTCTGGCCTGGCAGCCTGGAAGTCTCCGCTGTTTTGCAGCTGCATGGGAAGGAAAGGTGCCAGCGCCACGCCCATTAGCAGCCCCTTCTCGCTAAGAACCGGTCCACTCTGGCTTGACTCTGCTGAGACAGTTTAGCTTGAGACGTTGGGTTGATGGCTACAGCAGGGACCTTAGCAGCTGTCACTCACTCCAGCCTCAGCATAGTAATGCCTGCTCTCCAGTCAAGCGTTTTAAAAAATTCCAGCATCATCTTGAGGTTGTCAGCTTGGCATCAGGAACACGGAACTGGCTGGTCTGGTTCTTGAGGTAGCGGCTAAATATTTTATAAAATGAAGCAAATTTCATTTTGCTGATGGCTGCAGGAAACGCGTGCATACATATCAAATAAAACGATGCTACCACTTACACTTGCTCTAAAGCAATATGAAGCACTAGAAAATTAGCATGATAATCTGAGCCTCTTCCAGGGTTGTGATGTCATGCCCTATACTTTGTGAATACTAATAAACACAAATGAGGACTAGAGAGATCCCAGAGTTCAGGAGCCTGTTGTGTGATGAATTATTGTGTTTTTTACTGTCTTTTACTGGACCAAAACTATCAAATAATACAAGACCAGCCCATTTCTAACTTCATATTGACACTCCTCCTCAACCTCTCTTGTGATGAAATAGTTATACTACAAAGCTTTCACATTGCACTTTTCATTCATAGATCTCAAAGTGCTTTACAAGTAGTTCAGTATCATTATCCCCATTTTACAGGTGTCATCCAGCAGGTCAGTGGCAGAGCCAGGAATTGAACCCACGTCTCCTGAGTCCCTGTCCAGTGCTCTGAAAGGTGAAATGTAAATGTCACGATTAATTTCTTATATTTTATTATAAAGGAGGTCTGCAGTGTCTGCACAGTAGTGTCCATCTAGATTCCTTTTTATTGTATCATGCATTATTTCATCTTAGCTTTGGAAGGTCATATCTGATTTCAGCTCATTGTCATTTTTTTAAGGATCCCACAAATATTTCGAAGCAAAATTAACACCATTGGGTTTGACACACTGAATTTTGAAACAATTTGTCTGGTTTTAGTTAAGGGGACACCATGACTGGGGAAGATTTGCTCAAAGACACTACCAGCGTCAAGCCGGAACTGGTCTTACAGCACTGTTTTAAACAATACAAACTCAGAGATTTGTATCCAAAGTTTTTCTTTAAAGTGAAACCAAGTAAATTTGGGCCACCCAAATCCAGACGTCGCATTATTATCGCGCCTCCAATGGTAAGACCAGCTTCTGATGGTTCAAAACCCATTCAGACCACTGCCATCGATGAAAAGGAGGAAGCTGCTGCCTGGCAAGTGACCCCTGAGGTAGAAAGCTGTCCCCACACTCCAGAAGAACCTTCAGAGGCAGGAGATGATCTACCAAAGCTGGAAGCTTGGATAACGGAAAGGAGAAAGCTCCGGTCTCAACTGGATAGCCTTGTGGATGTTGAAAAATGGCTAAGTCAAAAACTTTGCACCAGTGAGCAAGAAGATAGAGTCCTGGAAAACTTACAAAACTGCAGAGCAATGAGGAAGGCTGAAAGGCAGTTAGCTGCGACCAGAAATCTTGAAGTAAGTGTAGGCCTCATTCCTCTGCCCTTTGAATTACTGCACTGCCGCACCTGGAAGTCACACCTCACTATTACACTGATCATTTGAATTTAACAACTGTAGCTAAACAGAGGGAGATTGGAGGGCAGTCAGGTAAGTTCTCTTTCTATGGGTGCTAGTATCCGTCACGTATCCTTGCAGATTCTCATCAGTAAAATTACAGAAAGTGAGATAATTATACAACCAGCCTATTCAGATTGTTCCCCTGGAGACTGGTTACTTCTGCATAGGAAGAGGTAATTCAGCCAGGCTGCATTGGAGGAGTTTCTCTGAAATTCTACCTTTTGGGGCAGCAGCTGCACTTTCCTGGAATTAGCTGGACATTCCATCCCTTAAAGCTGCAGGCTGACAGGGCACAGAGCAGTCCATCTGAAGTTCCTCTGTGTACTAACTCCCTGCTCCCCTGATGCTGGGCCCTGGCAATGCAGCTTTTGCAGCAATTATAGTGAAAACCCTGTGGTGAAAGACCCTGCAGGTTGGTGCTGCTGAATTCCTCCCCAATACAACCTCTGGGCATCCAGGAAGTTCAAAACTGTCTATTGCTGGCCCTCCCATCCAGTCCCTACCTCTTCCATCAGCACTGCCTGCACTATGCATAGTCCTCATGGAGTGACTTGGGCGGTGTTGGGGACAGGGGTAAATGTGGAACAGTACTGCAGAGGCAGCACTTCCATCTTGTGGGTCTCCAGGAAAAGCCTCCTGGACTCCAGTTCCCGCTGACCATGGAGGCAGAGGGGATTATATGGCCTCTGGTCAGGGTGAGGAAAGACTGAATCCAAAATAAGGTCATCTTGAGGGGTATGGAACATGCCAGGGCCAGGTCTTTTACTGGTGTAAATCAGTATAACTCCATTAATGTCAATGGAGCTGTACCCATTTATACCAGCTGATCCTCCATCACTTTACACTCTTCACACTTCTATGTCCTGATTGAATTTCTCATTAGGATGAAACTGATCTCATGATTATTCTTCAATCTCTTCCAGAACCTGCTGCCAAAGCACGACCTGCCTCCTCGAAGAAGAGTCATCCCCATTATCAACGCTCCCTATCCCCAGTCCCTCATCACCCTGCATAACCTTCTGCACAAACAAAAGCTCAAGATGGTGGACTTATTCAGGAAGGCGGATAAGGACAAGAAGCAGTTCATGAGATCAGACTTCATTAAAGTTATCAAGGGGGTATGCAGAAAACAGGTTAAGAATATAAGGCTGAAATTCTGCCCTAGTTCTGTCGGTGTAATTCCCCTGAAGCCAACGAGAAAGGCTGATCTCACAACAATGGGTCCTCCTCTCCCCCTGGTTACACTGATTTTAGAAATGATCTATGGGGAATTAATCTTCAGAGATTTTACTCCACAACCTGTGAAAATCTGTAGGGAGAAGGGAAAGAGAATTTAGCTGCATATTTAGATGACCCAAGAGATAGAGTGAATTCCAGCTGAGGACGAAACCCACAGCCACATTGTCCAAAAGAAACTCACAGGCCAATTCGGATTCTGCCCTATGTGCAGATCTGCTGTTGGTTTCCATAACAGTGATAATATAGGTTCCTTCAGTCTGAGGGAGCTCAAGATGCTTTACAGACCATTAATTAGCCTCACAACCCAAGCTGTGAGGTAGGGGTGTGTGAATGGAGAAGCAATGTGGTCCAGTGGGGAGGGTGCTGGACTGGACTCCAGACACCTAAGTTCTATTCCTGGCTGTCTTGCGGGCCTGCTGTGTGACTTGAGTAAGCCACTTCACCTCTTTGTACCTCAATTTCTCCTACCACCCTTTGTCTGTGGACTGTCATTTACAATTTATGTGTACAGTGCCTACCACAACACAGCCTTGATCTCAGTTGGTGCCATTAGATGTTACTCTAATATGTCTAGTAACAATACTCATTTGACAGATGTTGAAACTGAAGGCCAAAGATGCAAAGTGACTTGTCCAAGGCCACCCAGCCTCTCAGTGGCAAAGCTTGGAGTAGAATCCATGGATCTTAATTCCCAGAGGTAATGGGCTTAATCTGCAGCAAGGGAGATTCAGGTTTGATATTAGAGAAAAAATTCTAACTTTAAGAATAGTTAATGTCTGGAATAGGGTTCAAGAGAGGTTGTAGAATCTCATCACTGGAAAGTCAGGGATGGTCTAGGTTTATATGGTCCTGCCACAGCACAGGGAGTGGGACTTGATAATTTCTCGAGATCCCTTCAGCCCTACATTTCTATGATTCTGTGATTCTCCAGCCAGCAGGCTACACCATCTTTCAATACCATGGTAGTAGTGCGCATGGAGCAACTTCCGAACTGGTCCCAAGGGCTTTATGGCAGCCTTCAATCTTATTATGATCACATTTGAATTTTTTTCTTTTTAAAGGCCAAAGTCCCTATCAGTGACAATGACCTGGAAGATGTGATCATCTTCCTTACTTCTTCAAAACGTGGGAATTTTATAACCAGTGACGATCTGGTTGAATGTCAAAATATATGGCTGGATACAATGAGAGATCAGACGAAACAACCTGGGGAGAGCAAAAACAGGTAAGAAAAAGGAACTCGCGGTAGGAAAATTATTCTTCATTCTTAGGAGCATGGGAATCGCCACACTGGGTCCATTTAGTACAACATCCTGTCTCCGACAATGGGCAGCAGCAGATGCTTCACATGAAGAGTAAGATGCCCACAGTAGCAGATGTGGGATAATCTGCCCCCACATTAGGTCTCATCCTGGTCATTAATAGAGATTTGCTTAAACCCTAAATTTAATATCCTTTCCAGAATTTGGTTAACATTCTTGGCCCCCTCCAGCCAGATGGCTGAAAACTAGAACCTTTGACACAAATGCCCTTCCACTCAAACTCTGGGATTTTGGATAGAATGGACCCAAGATTCAAGCCACCCCTGGTTTTGCAAAACCCAACTTCCTTGGCTCATCTCTACGTGAAAGCTTGTTTGTGTACACGTGTTACCTTATGCTACAGTCTCACCAGTCAAGAGGTAAAAGGAGAAATGCCTAGAAGTGCTGAGAAATACGTAGCACTTTACAGCTTCAAAATACCCTGCAAACATTAACTTATTCCTCAGAGCAATTAATTGATATTTCTGAAATGCTTTGAGAGCCTCAGAGGAAAGACACTAGAGAAGGCCACAGTATTATTAAAGTATTAGGATTAAAGACAAATATCCCACTGGGGTAAGCATCATTATTTGTATTGTATAGCTGAGTAAACTGAGGCACAGAGAGGTTAAGTGACTTGCCCAAGGCCCAATGGTGAGTCAGTGATGGAGCTGGGAATAGAACTCAGGGTGCCCCACAACAAGTCCTGTGCTCAGATGTTTCCTACACACACTTATTTGGAGGGTTACAATTTAGTTCTCCCCCAGTTTGGGCCTATCTCTATCACCGTTGCTGGGAAACAAAGGTCTGATTCTGAAGGAATGTGACAGAAGGCAGCATTTGCCAAGCACTTCCAAGTTGAGCTTCCACTCAGGAAAATGAAATCAGACACCACACCACTCTCCAACTCTGCCGTGTGTCATTAAAGGGCTCCCCTTATTTTAAGTCCTCAGAATATGATCCTCCCTCTCTTTTCTTACGGCCTTTGAAATGGTTAACGATGTTGACGTTTAAAGCATCATCCTTGGCTTCTGAGCGAGCAGCCACTGACCCGAACAAGGCAGCTCATGCAGCTAAGCTATTGTTTCAAGCCCCCTGCTACTTCAGGCAGACACCACTGCCTTGGTTATGTTCGGGTCACATTTTGATGGTGAAACCATAACAGCGAGAGACTTCCTTTTTTTCAAACAG